TTGCACAAATTCTGGATATCCAGCCCCAAGTGGACAAGCTTTGGTAGCATGGTCAGGAGTTTCGCAAATACTACACACTTCCTTCGGAGGGCTTCTTGAGTTTAATGCAAGAAGAGCATCTAGCTTTTGTTCCAGTTTTGAAATCTGCACACTAGAAGCATCATTAGAACCACTAACAACATGTTTGCCTCTTGTATCCGTATGTTGGGTCTCCATTGCTATCTCCTCAAAGAGTTCGTACGTTTCTTCTGGAGTTTTGGTTTTATAAGAACCACCTGCAAAATTTGTGACAATATTATGACTAGAAGGGGTTAGTCCTTTATAAAACAAACGCATTTGAAGCTTCAATGGAATCCCATGATGAGAACATTGATTGAGCAGCCCATTGAACCTCTCCCATGCTTCACAAAACGACTCGTCATCTTGCTGTACAAATAACAAGATCTTATCCCTAAGCATGTCGGTCTTTTGCGTGGAGAAGTATTTCTCCAAGAATTTCTTTTGAATGGCAGCCCATGTAGTGAGTGAACCAGGCTTCAAAGAATTCAACCAATATTTCGCCTTATCCTTCAAAGTGTATGGAAACACTCTCATTCGAAGTTGATCTTCTCTCACACCTGTCAAGGGAAAAGAACTCACAACATTAAAAATATCCTTTATATGAGTTAATGGATCTTCATTAGGTAAACCATAAAAGGAAGGCAGCATATTAAGATGAGAAGATTTAAGCTCATAATTTCGAGCTACAGTGGGCAGCAAAATGCTTGAAGGAGATGCTGGAATTGTTGGGATATCAAGTTCTCCCGTGAACTCATTGGCAGCCATCTCTTCTTCTTCTTCTTGGTCTGAACTTGCTTCCGAATTTGAAAGTGAAGTACCAGGAAGTTCAGTGTGGAGAGCAAGACTTGAAAATGTGGCCAGAGCTTGCTCTTTTGCAGTTGACAACTCTCTTTCTAGACGACTCTGAATTTCAGAGGTCACTCGTCTGGGTTGCAACGATGGTCCTGCGTTCAAAGATCTAGAACGTTGGAACGAAGACCTAACTTGTTCAAGTAATGGATTTTTAGACATAAACTACCTGAAACAGAAAATTAGATTAATTAGAAACACTAAAAAAATAGGGTAACCTTGGGCACATAACCAGGGAAGAACTTTCGTTCAGTCCCCGGAAACGGCGCCAAAATTTGTTTTTAATTATTATGTTAACTCGCAATTGTACGGGGCAATTAGTAGTATAGCAAGACAAGTACGAGGTCGTACCCACGAAGACTGAGAAGTTAAAACTAGTTATGTACTTAGATTACCAAATTCAAGAAAGTAGGAGGTTATGTCTAAAACAGAATTTAAAACAAGAGTGGTTGTGATTGTTGAACAAAAGAAGCAAAATGAAATTGCAAACAAAAACAAGTAAACAAATGTAACAAAGAGTGGTTTTAAGAGATGGAAAACAGATTTGGAGACTAGGGCATTCGAATCACCATAACAATTCAACTCTGGGTTATAAGGAGTCAAGTAACAAGTCTAATTCATATTCAAAGATTGATTCTAGCTAAAGTATGATTAGGCCATGGTGTCTGG